GGCAAATATCTGCACCCCCCCCCCCTTGTTTTTGAGCTTCTAGGCAAATATCTGCACCCCCCCCCTTGTTTTTGAGCTTCTAAAATTGGAAATGAATTGCTATTTATCTTCGCGTGCATACGGTAATCTCATTTTATAAGTCTCGCCTGGAATCGGTTGAATCCAAGTTAATCCACGTATAATCGAATCCGGCAGAAGATTTTTTTACAACTATCTGACCTGATTTCAAGGAATTCTTTTTAAATACTTGAGAGAAATATTTAAACCAAAATACTTTGTATGATTCGAGCTGCGAGAATGAGTTTGATCTGATAATTTATTGCGAAGATGATCTAGGTCCAACTGTACGCGTAAAGCATTCCATTTTTTGAAAATGCAAATTTTTTTTCTTGCGAATATTACATGAGTTCTCGTCAATTTTCAGTTTGACTCCAGGTTCGGCACGCAGCTGATCTCCTTCAGTTTCAAGCACAGTTTACAACGTGGGGGATTTACCACGTGTTTCGCTTTGATTCTGGGCTGTAAAAATCGTCTGGAGCAGCGATTGTGGATTAGGCAGTTATTGGCGAAGGCTGCTTTGCCCCAGGATCAAGGAATCAAGCGTGTTCTTACCCTGCCATTCTTTTCGGCATCAGATTCTCTGTTCGAAGACGCTTGTCTTTACCTGGAATCCCTCGCCAAGTCCAGGCCTCCCGTCGGGAATGATGTCTATTCAGTGTTGAAAGTGCTGTACGTGAAAAAGGGATATTATGTGCGAGGTGAGTTTTTGCCGAAGTATGCGTTTCCTCCTTTTATTCTGTTCATTTGATGCTGTTTTCTTGAAATTCAGTTTTAACTGGTCTTTCTGCGGAAATTACAAAGAAATTATCAAATACAGAACTGTACAGTATTTCGTCTCGCAGCTGGAACTCACTCACGAATATTTTGGAAAGGTGTCGCCCGAATCACAAGGTTGATTTAATCGAGTGTAAACTCGCACATCCCGACTTTTAATAGGACCCTGATGAACATCGTAGACATTATGCTACATATATTCAAATTTCAAATCCAAGTAAAACCAATCTATGAAGTATTTCTGAAGTTGGAGTTGAAAGAGGAGATTACTCCATCATTGAAATATGTTTCATCGATTTTCAAACTTCTCCGGGGGCAAAAGTAAACCAAGTTTCTGTTTCACGTAAGTGCAGTGCGGTGCTAAATATGCAAGCATAAAAAAAGGTTTTTTTACAGTACAAAAATTCTAAATTGTTTATTGCCAAAATTCTGCAAGACGTAAATGTTCAAACTCAATGAATCTGAGTATGAAGTAAATATAAATATGGTTCAGACAAAGTTTGCGACTAACTTGAATTTATCCAAGTTTCCTGATAAACTCGTCAAGTCACAAGTTCGCGTATGTTATTTGGTAAAAATCATCGTCCAGTTGGAACTGATCACCTTATTTTTTTCGTTCTCCGCGCTTTTTAAAACTCGTGTTTTTGAGAATTTTTTTCCGCTTACTCCAGATGTTGTTTTGTTTCCTGGTAAATTCACGCCTGCGCTGAAATATTCGGGACTAACGTTTTGAATTATGTGTTTTATGCAACAGCGGCCTGCGTAGGGTTCGAACTGAGTACCAGACTGGAAGCGGAATCACACGGCGTTTCACCTGAAGATCAGGTCAAGATGCTGAATCAGGCTGTGACCGGTTATTGTGGAGCCGAGATGATGTTGTCATATTCGATCGAAGACGGAGGTCCGGGCTTTTTCCTCCATTTCCCGTCGACGCCCTCGGCCAAGGCCAGCAAAGCCCCGCAGTTTCCCAATGGAAAGATCATCGAACTTGGTAAATTTCTATCCATTTTCTCGAAAACCTGAGAGGGGGTTTATA